AAAAAAAAAAAAAAAAAGACAAGATTAATATGATTAGCACACCAAAAATGGTTTATATGATCTTGCTAGAATGATGAGTCTCTAATCATAATATGGATATAGTGAAAATAGTCCATAATCCCTCTAAGCTCTCTGTAACTTTTTTTCCTGAACAGACTCTTAGATCCTCAGACAAACACTGAAATAGCAAACTACCCTATCTACAAAATCCTGTTCTGTGTCAGAGGGCATGACGGAACTCCTGAGAGTGACTGTTTTGCTTTCACTGAAAGTCATTACAATGCAGAGCTCTTCAGAATACATGTCTTCCGGTGCGAAATACAAGAAGCTGTAAGTCCTTACCAGAAAAGTGTCTGCAAATGAAACTTCACCTGTACCCTCACTGTGTTGAAGTTAATTGCAGTATTTATTATGGTCACTTAATAAGCCAAATGAAATTCTTTGCTGTTTTATTCATTCCAGCCTGATGGGCTGAAATATAAAGAAACTAGAAGTTTGGGTAACCAGAACCTTGTTGCTAAGAGTGTCAGAGACTAGGACTGCTTCTTGATGTAGGCATCTTGGTTTCAGGACTGACACATTTCCAAACTGTTCTTTTAAAGCTAATCTTGTAGGATTTTTTTTTTATTTATAATATATTCAGAATGTTTTTAACAATTTTGGAAATTATTTTTCAGTTGGATTTCTTGTGCTTATAACCATGTCTTTTTTAAAACCCCTTCTCTGGCCATTTTTAGTGTTGCTTGCTTTCTAGGCCTAACAAATTATTTACCAAAAGAAATCAATGGGGGAAAGATGAATTATCCCCCACCCCCAACACACACACAAAATAGGTAACCTTCAGCCTTAATAAAGGTTATTTTATTTTTTCTCGTAACAGCCCATTTTCTAACTTGTCTGTTGTAGGTAAGCCGGATACTTTACAGTTTTGCCACTGCCTTCCGCCGTTCCGCCAAGCAGACCCCACTTTCAGCAACTGCTGCACCCCAAACTCCTGACAGTGACATCTTTACCTTCTCTGTTTCTTTAGAAATAAAAGAAGATGATGGTAAAGGTTATTTTAGGTAGGGTATTTTATTCTGCCTTTGTTTATTTTTTTATTTTTTAAAGATTTTATTTATTTATTTGAGAGAAAGAATGAGAGAGAGAGCACATGAGAGGGGGGAGGGTCAGAGGGAGAAGCAGACTCCCTGCCGAGCAGGGAGCCCGATGTGGAACTCGATCCCGGGACTCCAGGATCATGACCTGAGCCGAAGGCAGTCGCTTAACCAACTGAGCCACCCAGGCGCCCTATTCTGCCTTTATTTTTTCAAGTTTGTATTAACATGCTGTATCTGTGGTTCAAGGGAACTCTGGGTCAGATTATATAACTTTCATGTATAAAATGATTGCTTTTATAGGTAGAGTTTTTTTATATTGTAAATGATAAAGAAAAGGAAATAGGCAAATTTGCAGAGGAAAGATTTTTTTTATTTAAATTTTTAAAAATTTTAATTTCAGTATAAATAACATGCAGTGTTATATTAGTTTCAGGTACGTAATACAGTGCTCGCTTCGGCAGCACATATACTAAAAATAGGTACGTAATACAGAGATTTAAAAAGTATACACTACTCAGCACTCATCACAATAAATGGTTTCTTAAAACCCATCACCAGTTTACCCATCCCACTCACCTCCCTCCCTCTGGTAACTATCAGTTTGTTCTGTATAGTTAAGTGTGATTTTTGGGTTGTCTCTTTTTTCCTTTGTTCCTTTTGTTTCTTAAATTCCATGTGTAAGTGAAATCATATGGTATTTGTGTTTCTCTAATTATGGAAGCAGCCCAAGTGTCCATCAATAGATGAATGGATAAAGAAGATGTGATACATATAATGGAATATTGTTCAGCCATAAAAAAGAATGAAATCTTGCCATTTTCAAAAGCATGGATGAGGTTATAATGCTAAGTGAAATCAGAAAAAAGCTGATTTCTTTCTTTTCATTTTTTATGTCTTTTTTATGGCTGAGTAATATTCCATGGTATGCATTTTTGTGTATACACACACACCCCACATCATCTTTATCCATTCATCTACTGGTGGGCACTTTGGGCTGCTTTCCTGATTGGGCTATTTAAATAATGCTGCAGTAGACATAGGGGTGCATGCATCTTTCAGAATTAATGTTTTCATATTCTTTGGGTAAATACCCAGTAGGGAAATTACTGGATCATAAGATAGTTCTGTTTTCCACAGTGGCTGCACCAGTTTGCTTTACCCCCAGTAGTGCACCAGGGCTCCTTTTTCTCCATATCCTCACCAACACTTGTTATTTCTTGTCTTTTTTGATACTAGCCATTCTGACAGGTGCGAGGTGGTATCTTATTGTGGTTTTGATTTGCATTTCCCCAATGATGAGTGATGTTGAGCATCTCTATCTTTTCATGTGTCTCTTGGCCATCTGTATGTCATCTTTGAAGAAATGTCTTTTCATGTTTTCTGTCCTTTTTTAAATTGGATTATTTGTTTTTTGGGTGTTGAATTGTATAAGTTCTTTTTTTTTTTAAGATTTTATTTATTTATTTGTCAGAGCGAGCACACAAGCAGGCGCAGCAGCAGGCAGAGGGAGAAGCAGGCCCCCCACTGAGGAGGGAGCCCGATGCGGGACTCGATCCCAGGACCCTGGGATCATGACCTGAGCCGAAGGCAGGTGCTTAACTGACTGAGCCACCCAGGTGTCCTGTATAATTTCTTTATATAGTTTGGATACAAACCCTTTATTGGATGTATCATTTGCAGATATCTTCTCCAGTTCAGAAGGTTGGCTTTTAGTTTTGTTGATTGTTTCCTTTACTGTGCAGAAGCTTTTTATTTTGATGTAGTCACAATAGTTTATTTTTGCTTTTGCTTCCCTTGCCTTAGGGGACATATCTAGAAAAATGTTGCTATGACCAGTGTCAGAGAAGTTACTACCTGTGCTCTCCTCTAGGATTTTTATGGTTTCAGATCTCACATTTAGGTCTTTAATCCATTTTGAGTTTATTTTTGAGTATGATGTAAGAAGGTGGTCCAGTTTCATTGTTTTGAATGTTCCTGTCCAGTTTTCCCAACACCATTTGTTGAAGAGATGGTCTTTTTCCCATTGTATATTCATTACTCCTTGTCCAAGATTAATTGACCATATAATTGTGGGTTTATTTCTGGGCTCTCTATTCTTTTCCATTGATCTGTGTGTCTGTGCCAGTACCATACTGTTTTGCTTACTTACAACAGCTTTGTCATACATTTTGAAATCTGTGATTTTGATACCTTCACTTTGGTTCTCCTTTTTCAAGATTTCTTTGGCTAATTCAGAGTTTTTTATGATGCCGTACAAATTTTAGGATTATTTGTTGTAGTTCTGTGAAAAATGCTGTTGGTATTTTGATAGAGATTGCATTAAATCTGTAGATTGCTTTGGGTAATATGGACATGTTCTCCCAATCCATGAGCATGGAATATCTTTCTGTTTGTGTTATCTTCAGAGCATAGGTCTTTCACTGCTTTGGTATTTTACTGTTTTTGGTGCAGTTGTAAATGGCACTGTTTAATCTCTCTTCAAGAGGCAAGATTTGAAGAATTTTAAAGCTATTAAAAAATTCTTTCGTGTGGGGAAATATGTCACGTTACTTTGTTCTTCTAGACTCAAAGTAACTGGCCGACTGCTGTTATGAAATATGACAGAAGCTAAGCCTGCTGGATTTGTAGCTGGTTAATTTGTTTTAATAATCTAAAGATCTTAAGGCTGTTGACATCAGGTTTTCCATTATAGTTTATCTGAACACATTGGGGATGAGGAGAAATGAGGTCTGTGTCTGAAGTCTTAACCTTGCATGTACGGTCAGAAATAATTGGTTTGGGCTTTTAAGTAAAATGGTACTTCTTTTGAGTAGTGGAAAGAACCTTAGAATAGAAATAAAGACTTAGATTTAGTTAATTATTGCTGCTATTAACACTGTGAACTTTTCCAAGTTTCTTTATATCTCCTGGCAGTAGTTCCCTTACTTAGAAAATAAGCTGGCTAGACTCTAAAGTGCTTTCTAACTTTAAAATACTATGGTCACAAGATGATTGGTTTGGTTTGTTTTGTTTTGTTTTTAACCCATATCACACATTAGGTGCTTCTTGGATCATAATTGACAGTTGCATATTCAAAGTCTCTTTCCTTCATGACTACCTCATAAAATGGGCAAAATAAAATAGCATTAAAATATGAGTGATTTCTACTATTTTGCTTTCAAATTAGCACAATGATGACTGGTTTATTTATTTATTTGAACAACGGAGAACTCTTGGTCTCCCTGCAAAAATTTTTGGAATTCTCATGCCATCTGGTGGCTGATTTCATGTACAATGCAGCTTCAACTTTGATTTGTGCACTGAAGTATTAGACACTATATCTGTACCCTCTCATCAGTATTTCTGTTCTCACAGCAACTGTTGGGATGTGCTACTTCCCACAGTATATATGCCTGCCCCAGGAAGTGGAAATTATAATCTATAAAGTTTGTAACAATTTTTTTCCTTTTTAAGGAACAAAAGTTTCTTTAAACTGCATTTTTCCCCTTTAGTAAAGAAATTTATGTAGATCCCATTTATAAATTTCAATTACAAATAGGAACGATGTCTAAGATCTCTCAGAAGCACTAGAACTAGTTCTCTTGCTTCTGGGCTCAGGCATGTTCAAGGTAGAATGGTCGTAATCACAATCATCCCTGTTCTGTTCATCCTCATACCAAGCAAATGCTATACAGAAAATCCCTAGATGGTCATTTGCTCTTCACATTTGTCAGGGCTTTGTTCTTTTTTTGTTACATGGTTTTATTGAATTTGTAGTTTATAGTAGAAAATAGTGTTTTGTGGCCTTATTATAGTGATGAACTTACTGAAAAGTAAGCCTCTCTTTATCAGATTTGAACTGGCCAAATGCAGTTGTTTTTTTCCAGTGATTCTGTAATATGTCCAGGAATTTATTTGCAGAAACATCATCGAGGTACTTAAAGAATTATCAAGATGGATGTTCCCCCTTAATACTGTTTATAATAACAAAATTAAAAAGTGGAAATGAAATGTTCACCAGAATAATTAAAATATGATGCATTTCACAATATATACAAATGTCAAAGCATTGTTATTCACCTCAAATTAATATAATGTTGTATGTTCGTTATATTTCACTAAGAACATAATACAGTGATATACCCTCTGACTTAGCACCTATCCAAAAAATACAGGTATATGTAAGTAACCATAGCACAAGATAGATTTACTCTAACATAAATACAAAGTATTGTGACAAGAATTAATGCTCTTCTTTTCATCCTTGAAAAAGTATAATTCTTACATTATTAATGTTAGAAACCTACTTTCAATTTAGCCCTTAGGAAGATGGAGCGTTTTCATTTATACCATTTAAAGCACTTTTTTGTCTTATTTATTCTACCATATAACCCTATTAGGTATGCTGGGTATTTGATATTTCCTTGTTTTATAGGTAAAGAAGCCCAGGGATGTTAAGCCTGGATCTCAGTATTGTAATTTATATAGTAGGAAGTCAGTGTAGAATTATTGGGGTGGATCTATTCAATGATACGATGACAAGACTAGAAGTAAAATCTAAACTCCCTGACAGCAGTGAAGTGAACTTCACTCTTTACAGTCTCCGCTCTGCTTCCTGTTAATGTGGCTTTTCCTTGTACTTCAGCATTAGGACACCAGAGACAACTTTATATCTGTTGTTGTTTTAAATACTGCTAAGAGATGGGATTGTATTTATTTCTGTGTCAGCATCTGCCAAACATAAAGACTAGTGTATCTGTTATCAGTTGAAAATTGAGATCTGTCTATATCCTTATAGGTGAAAATTCTGTCAGTCATAAATATTGAAGTTTGGTATGCAGAAGTTTTTCTTTGCACATGTTTGTCATTTCCAGACTCCTTTGCTAAGATTTTTTGGTTTTCTTTTCTCTCTCTTTTTTTTTAAGATTTTATTTTAAAGTAATCTCTATACCCAACATGGGGCTTGAACTTATAACCATGAGATCAAGAGTCACATGCTCCACTGACTGAGCCAGCAAGGCACCCCGATTCTTTGATTTTCTTATCTTACTTTCATAGAGTGTTTTTGAATTGGTTACTCTATAAGTACAGATGGTCTTCAAACTAATTTAATTAAAAAAAAAAAACAAAACAGACAACTAATTTAATTTTTCAGAGCCACTTTTTCGTTTGAGTAGGTACCTAGAACTCTCACGTAGCCTTTTATAGTATCTTTTAATGGTTCTGCTACCATTGTTTTAAAGTTGTACACTACGAAGACATAATTTGTATTTGCTGCATGTTGGCTGATTGCCATTGGCAGATGTTTGCTTTTGAGAACAAAGGAGCCAGAGAAAGTGGTGTGTGGGAGAGTAGGGGATTATTTTGGCAAACTCTAATTTTAAGAATATTTTCATCTTTTTTCTTAAGGTGATGTTTAACTATATCATTAGTATTATTTTTATAGTTATTGCACAGGTGAATAATAAGGTTATCACTGCTTAAGGGAAGCATTAAGCAACAGCTTACTGTTGGCCTTATTTTCCTTATCTCTATTATTTTTTGAAGGTACCTTGTTTTGGAATTCAAAGGATGTTTGATTAAGTATTTTTTCTTTATTACATATTTAAACAAATAAGGCAATAAACATTTGTAAAAAAAATGACTAAATTGAAAGGAAAGAAAACTAATGTTTTTTTGAATGCCTACATGCTAGATGCCATGTTAAGTGCTTTACAGATATCTAACTTAATTTCACAACAGAAAATTAAATTAAAGCCACATTTTAGGGAGCATATGAGTTTTTTCTAGCTCTTATAAATTGTTTAGTGGATTACATACAGTAATGATAATATTTTCACATCAAGAGGTAGATGATGATTTTTAAATTTCTGTGATGACTTGAAAACCAGGCATACAAAAGAATCCTAGATTCAAGAGAGGTTGTTCTAGTATATGTCACAAGAAAATACTTTGCAAAATTAATGAAACATGTTGTTCTACAGTGCAGTTCCTAAAGAGAAGGACAGACAGTGCTTTAAACTTCGCCAAGGAACGGATAAGAAGATTGTCATCTATGTGCAACAAACAACTAATAAAGAACTGGCCATTGAAAGGTAAACATTTTTAGTAAATTCAGCTTAAATATAAATTCTGGTTTTTATCCAGTGGAGTAACCATATACTATATTCAAACATATATTTGCAAAAATTTTGTTCTCTGGGGAATTCTTTTTGTTACTGAAGTGAGTACTTCGTTCACTTTGAATTAGCTACCATAAATCGTCAGCTAATATGCTGACTTCAACTATGTGATAATAAAAGACAAGAGAATTTGTTTCTGTAAGTAAAAGAAGTAAGGTTATTTGGGCAATGCTAATTTATTGATAATTTTAATGTGTCCTTTATCCATCAATAAGAATTTTAAATGACCTAGTTTAAATGTCTTTTTTGTGTTATCTTTCTTCCAAATTTTTGCCTGTTCTTTCTTTGCAGGTGTTTTGGTCTTCTCCTTAGCCCAGGAAAAGATGTACGAAATAGTGACATGCACTTGTTAGATTTGGTAAGGATTGCTTTTCTTTTTAAGGTTATACACTATTTCCTTGATAAAGGTTTCACTTTATCTCACTTGAATCTGATGGTAAAGCACTTTTGTGAAGGTGTTCTTGTGAGCTGTAATAGCAATAAACAAAGAATTTCCTTATTTCTGACTTGATATTTACTAGTCTGACCTTAGACCTATTTAATCTCAGCCTCGGTTTCTTCACCGTATAATGGTGAATAATCCTTGTTTATAATTTAAGGTTGAAGTTGGAATCAAAGAGAAAGTTTGTGAGGGAAGTGTTTACAAACTATCATGAGTTTTTTAAAAGTAGGTGGTATTAGTATTGTTGCTATTTGAAAATCTTTATTTTCAAAACTAAAATTTATGTGCTAATTATGCACTTGACAGAAGAATTCAGCATAGATTCAGGTGGTACATTTCTCTAAATTTGCAGAATTTGATATGATTTATAAGCGTTTACTTTATAATTTTTCAGGAGCAATTGCATAAATAATTGGCACATCTTTAATTTTAACTGCAGTCGTCTCATTCACATATATTTCTACTTTTTAAAAAATATCTGACCCTCTTTCATATTTTTACATTTTTGTGAGTCCTGTTTTTTAAAGGCAGCAAAATGGGAGCTAGCTGTTGTTCCTTTATTTTGGCATTAATGTTTGTTTTTACTATTTTCTTTAGGAATCTATGGGCAAAAGTTCAGATGGAAAGTCCTATGTTATCACTGGGAGCTGGAATCCAAAATCTCTACCTTTTCAAGTTGTAAATGAAGAAACTCCTAAAGGTGATGCAGATTATTGATATCATGAACAGAAATTTTAGTCCCAAAAGGATACCCAAACCTTAGGACCACTTATTTGACAAATATCAGAGTTTTTTAATTCTGGTGAAACCAAAGAATTTGTATAGGTCTTTGAGTTTATTATTAAATTTGACCTATAAACAAAATATCATTTTTCCCCACTTATTTTTCCCTCCCTCTCAATTTTTCACTTCCCTGCTTCCTTTTTCTATTCATGTACTTATTTATATACGGAATTCTAAATTTTATTTTTATGGAGAGATAATATATGTACATATGGTTAAAAATTAAAAGGATATAGAGGGGAAAGTAAAAATTGACGATAGTCCTCAGGGCCCCACCCCAAGAGGACCATTGTGATCAGTTTCTTATGTAGCTTTTCAGATATTTTGTGCAGAAACCACCTTTATCAAGTTATTTCCTACTCTTCCTGAATGCCATTTAGTGGCTGTATAATATTCTATCCTGAAAATGTAACATTATTTGCTTAACTAGTGCCTCCTGTTGAGCATTTATTTTTTTTCCCCTTCATTTTTTCTTTTTACTCATAGCACTATAGATAAATAGATAAGTTAACCAAGATTTTAAAAGTTGAGAATTCCCAGTGTTGGTGAGAGTGGCATGAAGAGGCCGTATGCCACTTTTGCAGATCAGTCTGACAGACATTTCATAAACTTTTATGTCATGCTGTCACTATTTCCAAGGAGTCTACCCAAGCAAAGAATTCTCAATACAGAAAAAGGGTTTTCAAAACAGCAATTTATCTGATTATTCTAGATTTTGATTTAATGGATTACCTTAAGCTATCTTGAAAGTTTGTGAGAAAAGTAATTAATTTTACATTAATTGTATGAGCAAAGATATTTCCATTTTTTTATTTGCTTCTCCCCCCCTCTCTTTCTAGATAAAGTGCTGTTTATGACCACAGCTGTTGATTTGGTAATAACAGAAGTACAGGAGCCTGTTCGATTTCTCATAGAGACAAAAGTCCGTGTTTGCTCACCTAATGAAAGATTATTCTGGCCCTTCAGCAAACGTAGTACTACAGAAAATTTCTTTTTGAAACTAAAACAGGTACTACACTTTTCTATAAATATGGGAGGGAGGTATAGATAAGAAAGGAGAAACTATTTTTGAGGCTGATATATCATCAAGCTATCACTTAACATCTTTAAACAGTCATGTGTATTTTAAACATATTAAGAGGAAAAATTGTCTTTTATTTTTACCCACATATTTATCATTTTTCTTGCTCTTCATTTCTTCCTCAAGAACCAGGTTCCTGTCTGATCTTACTTGCCTTCAATTTGAAGGACTTACTTTAACATTTCTTTTAGTGTCGATCTACTAAAGTCATTAACTCTTAGACTTCTTTATCTGAAAATGTTTTTATTTCACCCTCATTCCAGTGGGATATTTTCACTGGCTGTAGGATTCTGGGTTGACATTTTTTTTCTTCTAGCACTTTAGAGATGTCCTCTCACAGTTGCCTGGCTCTCATTGTTTCCCATGTGAAGTCAGCATGCATTTATTGATACTGTTTCTCTGTATGGAATGAGTCATTGTTTCCTGGCTGCTTTTAAAATTATTTTTTATCTTTGGTTTTCAGACATTTAAATATGATGTGTCTTAGGCATGTGATTCTTTGTCTTCCTTGTGATTTGCTGATCCTCTTGAATTTTTTTTTTTAATTGACACAGAGAGAGAGGGAGGGAGGGGGCACACAAGCAGGAGAAACCGGAGAGGGAGAAGCAGGCTCCCCCCCCCCGAGCAGGGAGCCTGATGCGGGGCTGGATCCCAGGACCCTGGGATCATGACCTGAGCCGAAGGCAGATACTTAACCTACTGAGCCACCTAGGCGCCCCTGAGCTTCTTGAATTTTTAAGTTTCGTTAAAATATTTGTTTTGTTTTGACCAATTTTGAGGGAAATCTGGTTCATTATTCCTTTCAACCTTTTTTCCTGCCTCATCTCTCTTTTCTCTCATAGGATTCCAGTTACATATATTTTAGTCCTTTTGATATTATCCTGCAGATCTCTAAGGCTCTGTTTTTAATTAAATAATTTTTTTTCTGTTTTTTCTTTAGGTGGGATATCATTTTAACTCTCTTTTGACATGTCTTAAAGCTGGCTTGCCCCTTTGTTTTATCATCCCCAATTTTCTGTTAAGTCCATTCAATGAATTTTTTTTTAATTTCAGATCTTGTACTTTTTATTTCTAGAATGTCCATTTGATTTTTTTTTATAGTTTATTTTCTTATGAGATTTCCTTTGTTCTTTCAAAAAGGTTTTCTCTTACGTCCTTGAGCATAATTATAATATTGCTACTTTAAAAATCCTTAACTGCTAATTCTAATGTCTGGTGAGTCACATTTTCCTGTTTCTTTGTCTAGCAATTTTGGATTGTATGTTAGACATTTTTAATAATAGCCTATTATGTTATGGTCTCTTCTGAGTATCAGTTTAAAAAAAAATCTGTCAGTTAATTTGGTCAAAGTCAAATTCCATACTCTATTTTACCTGTGGTGGGCAGCAGATGAAATCTGTTTCCTTTTTGCTTTTCTTGGCCTCAGATTCCCCACTACTTTTCCTTTTTTTTTTTTTTTGCTTTCCTTTGTATCAAAACTTCTTGGAAAAAAAAAAAAAATCAAGTCCATAGTGACCTAAATTGCTAAATCTAGTGGTCAGTCTGAGTCTTCATAGTCCTTGGCCTTTGAGCAGTATGTAATACGGATGATCACTCCCCCCTTCCTTATCCCTCTTTCACTTAGCCTTCAGGACATCTCACATTTACCTTACCCCCCCCACCAATCCCTAGAATGCTCTCCTTACCTGTCTTTACTGTCTCAGTTCATGGACATCTTCTCCTAATTGTTGCTGAGGCCAAGAATTTTACTTTCATTTTTCACACCCCATATCCAGTCAGTCAGGAAATTCTATTGACTTTCAAAATCTGTCTAGACTATGGCTGCTTCTTAGCATTTAAATTACACTAACCTTATCTAAATTGTCACCTTTACCTGAGCTACTGTAGTAGCCTCTTCACATCTCCCTGTTTCTTTTTTTGCCCCCCCTTCATATATTCTCAACACAGCAGCCTAAGATCAAATCAGATCACTTTTCTGCTCATAACTCTTTAAACCTATTCTACTCTGTAAAAGCCAGAGTCCTTTCAGTGGCTCCTAAGACCCCATGTGGTCTACTGTCTGTTATACCATGAACGAATTTCTCTCTGACCGCTCTTCTTCCTTGCTGCTTCTGCTCTAGCCGTGCTCTCAGGGCCTTCGCTATTAACTGTTTCTTCTGCCTTAAATGCTCTCCCCATTTCCCACTTGCTATTATTCATCTCTTTCAGGTCCTCATCTTCTTCAAATCTGTGCTCAGATTGACATCTTCATAATGCCTGACTGCCACATGTAACACTGCAGTTTGTCTGCTCTTAACTTCCAGGATACCACATAATATACTTAATTTTATTTTGCTTATTATCTATTTTCCCCGTTAGAAACCTCTACTAGGGCAGTAGAGGTTCCTGATCTGCCTTGTTCACTGATTTATCCCAAGCATCTAAAACATAGTAGTTCTTTATAAATAGTTGTTGAATTGATTTTATTGACATGTAACTTCAGTCTTGAGTTTTACAAAATTATGATGTTGCTTGTGGATTTACTTGAGTATACTTTCTGATAGCAATAAATATTTTAGTTCCAGTATATCCAAGTTAGCCCTTTTGGTTATGGTTAGAAAAAGGTGGCAAACAGAACAGGAATAGAGATTTCTCTTCAGTGTTGTCTTAGGAGACAGAAAGTAAACCTGGGCCCCAGCACTGTTCTCCCAGCTCTTCACTGTGGCAGCAGAAAAGGATTAGCATAGGGTTATCAACTAGAAGTTGGCTTTGGAATCAGAGTATATGGATGTTACCACTGACTAGCAAGTACCTTCAACTCTGTGAGCCTGTTTACTCAGCTGTAAAATGGCAGTGATTGAATCTTCCTCATAGTATTATTTGTTATTGAGAAACTATATAACACATTTGGCATATAGTATGTTATTCATACATTTTACCTATTATTGAGAGGGACTGTGGAACCTTAGTGGGGCAGAGAAAGAATAAAAAATAGTAAGTCATTGAGATGCCTGGGTGGCTCAGTCAGTTGGGCATCCGACTCTTGATCTCAGCTTGGGTCTTGATCTTAGGGTCGTGAGTTGGGGTCTCCATGCTGGGCGTGGAGCCTACTGTAAAAAAAAAAAATAGTTATGAAATCAAAACAACATCGATTATTATTAGTGGATCAGTCCCAGAAGAAGAACACTTCAGAAAGAAAACCAATTTACAGGTATTACTTTAAAAATTTAAGGAGTAGCGATGATTCTTGAGTGTCTAGAGTAAGAGATGATAAATAGAAATTAATTCTATAATAATTTTAGAACAAATTTATATGTAAGAAAACATTCTCTTTAGAGTTCTGTCTCTTTAATCTTAGTGAACATAAATAAGATTCCTCTGATCTTGCTTTTCCCTTTAGGTCTTATACAACCTTATATTCAAAGACTGCATGAGTTTACAGGAATATTACTTATGTGGTTTGGTCTAATATAATGTATCTAAGTAGGCTAATAAATGACTTAGGCGGAGTAAAGTAGCCAGAAACACACATACCTGAGACTTAGCCCAGTAGACTACTCTAGAATCTCTGTGAAGGTTACAGGCTAAACATAGGCCAAGTTGTCAATATTTTCTTTGCAAAAAGCAGAAGTTTATATGTGGAAGCTAGGGAGGAGAGCAGGGAATTCCTGAGAATAATCTTTCATTTTTTTTCTTATTTGGGTAAGTCTTATTTTGGGGGGGAGGAGTTTTGTGAGGGGTGGGGAATGGGAAAGAAGAGAGAGAGTGTGAAGAATTTGAGCAACTTGTTGCTGTCTTAGTGTACTTAGGGCACTATTAATCTCATTTTTTCTAAGTTTATTCCCTCCTTTACATTCATGGCATTAAAAAGTAGTAGCTACAGTGGTTGAGAGCCTACTGTGGCCATCACTGTATGAGCTACCTTGACTTTTTCTGTCTTATATAACTTTTATAGTGAACCAATGAGGATGGTATTTTCATTTTTATAAATCCAGAGATGTAAAATCGATTTTATGGAATGTTGTGTGAACAAGATGCATACCTGAGCTTTCTAAGCATTCTCAGTCAGGATTCTTTCCATAGAAACATCCTCCCTTTGTCTTTCTTTCTGTAAGAGTATTTTTAGGATTTACTTAAATTAAGGAGAATTTAAAATTTTAACCCTTTTGCAGTTCTCATCAGACTGAAAAGGGAACAGTGGTGCAGACCAAATTTTTAAAATCTATAGCATATAGTTTCTGTTGTTGTCAGTATGGGAAAGTAATTATAGAAAAATTTTTAATACGTGTTTGAAAATTGATTTTTTCCTATCACTAAAATTACCTGATGGCTCAGTAACTCCTCTTAAGCATGGAAGCCTTCCCAACTGTGAGTATTATTATATTAAGATGACATCATATTAGAGAAGAAACTTTTAAAATTAGGGGGGAAAGAGGCACCTGGGTGGCTTAGTCGATTAAACGTCTGACTCTTGGTCTCAGCTCAGGTCTTGATCTCAGGGTTGTGAGTTTAAGCCCCACATTGGGCTCTGCACTGGGTGTGGAGCGTACTTAAAAAAAAAAAAATAATGGAGAAATAACGATTGTTTTCTTGGATTTAAATATTTAGAATATTGTTTACTAAAAGAGGAAGAAACTGGTTTGAAGATTAGGTTTTCCAACAGTAACATAAAGTGAATTTAAGACCAGCTAAGCATTCTTAAAACTATAGAATTACAGAATTTTATTGCCAAAGAGACTCTAGGTGTCTTAGAATCTTTTATGAAATTATTTTATAAATGAAGCTGATGTCTACAAGACGAAGTATGAGGCCAACATCACATAGACAAGTTATTAGTATGACCATATTAGAAACCTGAGCCTCTTATTTCTCTCTGGGGTATGTGTGTGTGATACGCACACATATGCAGTAAACCACTGAACCTCTCAAGGTGAAAAATATGGAAATGC